AAAAAAATTTTTTTTTTTTTTTTTTAAGCTGCAGTCCGTAACTTTTTTGGGTTAAAAATAGGGGTGTGACGAGACGCTTATCTCACGAGACGAGACGAGACACGAGATTGGGTTCACGAGAACGAGACGAGACGAGATTTTTGCACAATTTTTCAGAAATCCTCAATGACAAAATTCATGACTGGAAAAATAGCATGCAGGTGCATTTTTCAATGTTTAACTAATAATCTTATAATGCATGTCATTTCAGGTCTACTTTATGAGTATGAATTATCAAATGCATTGAAAGAAAACAATATACAAGCACTGTAAAAGGTTTTTATTGACTGGCTTTTCTCCTGTATGATTTCACATTAGTCTCTTCAGACCTTACTGTACATTTAAGAGCTTTCAGAACTTCTGATTGAGGCTGTGTGTGACCTCCTAACTGAACTCCTTTACATACATTTAACAGAGAAATAAAAAACGTATAAATAACAAAAATAAATAACTGTTTTCTCTTAGTCTTATTAAGTGCAAACAATAAGTGCAAGTGCAACCATAATCAAAGTTAGCACACAGACTCTTTATAATTGTTGTGAAATTGCGGTTTTATTTTGCACCGGCAGTTATAGGGTTAATGCGGTGAGTTCGGAAAAGGCCGAGAGAAACGAGGCTGGTGTGTTTGTCTCTACAGTTGTTCTTGCGTTCCGATTATAAGTTCAGAAACGGAGCCTCCCTTGTCTGTTGTCCTTTATACGTTACAGTACTCTCTCAATATTCGCAGTGCCAACAGAGACCATAGCCGCAAATAAACAGTCCAGAGATGGGTATTGGGAGACGGATTATTGTATGTATGCAGCCTAATTTGTGCACAATGCACATCAGGGAGCTTGTGTTTTACTTTCACTAACAAATTCGTGACCGCGCGTATAGGGAGCAGCGGTGCTGAGCGCGCATTCTACAAGATAAGACATTTATCAGACGTTTAGTCTGTTGCGCAACGAATCCCCCGCCATCGTCACACGATCAGTGAACTGTGATTCGTGCTGCACTGATTGCAACGGCAACTCGTGCTGGATGAGCAGAGCAGACTTTTGCATTAGTTTATAATGGTTTTTATTTTTTATAAAAACAACAAAACGACAGTTTAGGCGAATGTGAGTGTAGCGGTGAAATATTAATGGGGATATCGCGAGACAGCTTTTTCACTCGACGAGAAATCTCGTCATATTTAGTCTCGCGAGATCTCGTGGCACGAGATCTCGTCACACCCCTAGTTAAAAATTATCCAAAAGAAATTTCTGAGCAAGCACATAACCAGCCAGTGTTCAAAATTATCTGCTTGGCTTAGCTCGATTCAAAACGGTAAGCTTGTAATAATGTTTTTAATTCCAGTTTAAATTGAAGTTTATTTATATAGCACATTTCATACACTATTTTAATTCCTTCCTGTAAAGCACTTTAAATTGACATAATCACAAAATAAAAGCAAGGAAAATTAAATTAAAAGAGATATATGGTACAGTTATAAAATTAATTAAAGGTGCCCTAGAATGTTTTTTATTATTATTTTATAATGTTTCCTGGGTTACCCTTATAATGTTAGTATGTTTTTTAGATAAAAAATAATCATAATTTAGAAATAAATGGCATTTTTCCTAGCCTGCTTTTAGTCTCTGATTTGAACACTCTGTTTGAAGGGGCGTGTCTGCTGTGGGATTCAGTGTAAACGCGGCCACTGCTGTGATTGGCTGACATGCTTGCATATGAAATAGCAACGCATTACATGTGAAACTCTCTCGAATACTTTTACTACTGCTATTATACGTTTTTACTATAACAGCTATCGAGATTAACGAATCGTGAGATGTTTTTAAAGTATTTAGATCTATTCCCATCACATTAAATGTTGCCGTGATGAGCATTGAGCAGATGACAGTGTGTTGATCGCGAGAATGAAGATCTTATCATTGCAAAGCAGTTTCTGCACTCTCTCTGCTTTCACCAATGCAAACACGATGATGTAAATACAGTAAGAGCTTCGTTGTGCAGTAACGTGCGTCATTGATTTCATAACGAGTTTGGCAAGTGTCCAGATAAACTCGCGCTGTGTGGAAAGATTGTTCGTTGATCGCTTTCTGTATATAATTTGTTCACAATTTAAATACGATTATTTTCATCCTACTAAAAGAAACGATGTGAAGCTGATATTTTAGTCACTGGCTTGACTTACTGATGCATAAACAGTATTGAACGATTTTGAGAGAAAGATTACCTGTGTGAACTTGAACAATTACACATCAGAAAGCGTTGCATGGAAACTCGATCCGAGGCCAGCTCTGTATTGGCCCAAGTTGAGGAAACAGTCGGTGAAATGTTTGAAAATTTCCAGAGAAAATAAAATTAACCCATTGTTTCTTCAGAGGCTCAGATGAAGAAACTAAAAAATACCTTTGTGTTCATGTGTACATCCACACTGAGCAAAGCCATGCTTCGGCTGCGCAGTTCCACCTGGCATTGAGGGCTGGCATTATGCAAATATTTGGAGGCGTACATATTAATGATCCCGACTATTGCGTCACAGTCGGTATTGTGTGGAGAACCGACCGTTTTTCAGGGGTGTTTTTCATAAACTTGAATTAAATGAGAACGCGAAAACAGTCCAGTTTGAGATTCACTCTATGTCATGTCCATGCACTGAACTCTTGTTATTTGACTATACCAAGGTAAATTCAATTTTGAATTATAGGTCACCTTTAAAGCTGCAAGCAGCATTTAGCGGTGTTCAAGCAGTTAAGGCCTTTAAGGCCGTTAAGCACAAAAGCATCAAAAGACATTAAGTTTTATGTAGCATACATTTAAACACTGACATAATAGATGGAAAAGACCATTTACAGCCAATACAGGCAGTTATAGCGCCACCTATGGTCCGATCTCCATAAAACTTTGCATGCTTGTTAATGATGTTATGTCACATATGCTCATCAATTTTTGTGAAGTTCTGAGTTTTCTTGTAGGATTTATAGGCTTTTGAATGTATTTTGCCACGCCTCTTTTCTAAATGACCCTGTTATGCTACGTTCACACCGGACGCGAATAGCGCGTCAAATTCGCGTCTACCGCGTCTAGTTTGACGCTTGACCACTTTGTGTTAATTCGCGTGTCAATGGCGAAATTGACGCGCGTAAAAACAAAAGTTTGAAGCGAAATTTACACGCGTCAGAGGCGAAAGTTTCGAAACCCGTCGGCGGCCATCTTTTTAGATGTTTATCGAGCATTAGCATTAGCATTATTCGAGAGAGTCACCGCTCGTATATGCTCTGGAGAGCAGAAACAGCTGCGTATGGGACATCGTCGCTGTACTCGGGTCCACCAGACCCTCCGGAGGGTTTCAGGAGTTTCACCATTTGTTCCAGGAGCTAGGTTTGGTGGACCAAACGGTGAGGACGCTGACGAGGACAGCGTAGGCCGTGTAAAGCCTCGGCCTCGAGTGGTCGCTGCCTGACGAGCCCGCGCTCTACAGCCCGGCGCGAGGTTCACCCTCGCCCGCACATTTATTTGATAATAAATGGAGCCAGCCTCCAAAAGTGAAACCTGTCCTGTGATTTTTTTATTTATTATACACTATGTGTTTGTTGTTTTTACATTAAAATAATAATGTTTCATATAATCTAAAATAGATATGGAATAAATAGCATTCAATACAAAATTAGTACTATCTCTCATATATTAAAATCGAGTTTTTATGTGAAAGATTTGCTTTGTTGTGCATTAGAACCACACCAGACATTTTAGTAATATTACAAAATAATTTATTAAAATAACAAACTTTCACTTCACCACGTGACAGCAGCAAGCAGGCTCCTGATTGGTTAACGCGGCGCGAATTGACGCAGAAGTTCAAATTTTTCAACTCGGGCGGCAGACGCGAATTCGCGTCAAACGCGTGAATGCACAAATAGCACTAACTAAATCATTCGCGCGTAACGCGCTTCCGCGCCAGACGCTTCAATTCGCGCCTTTCGCGCGAACTTGACGCGCGAATGAGGCGTATTCGCGTCTACCGCGCCGCGCTCTACGCCTCATTCGCGCCGCAGGAATTTTTTACGCGCGTAACGCGTCTTTGCATTGACTTAACATTGAAATCACTCGCGCCTGACGCGCTATTCGCGTCCGGTGTGAACGTAGCATTATAGCCATACGAAAAATGCAAAAGTTAAACTTTTTTAAGATAATTATTCTAAGTAGTTTTTATTTATGATTTATAGGCTTTTGAGTGTATTTTGACACGCCCCCTTTTCTAAATGACCCTGTTTTAGCGAACCAAAGTTCAACTTTTTTTTGATAATTATTGATCTAGAGAGTCCAGAGAATTGTCCTAGACTGGTCTGGTTCCGATCGGGCGAAAAACCAGGGACTAGTTCGCGAAAGTAGGTTTTGGACAAAATTGGACATAGCAGAAAAAAATTCTGGCCTAAATCGATTTTGGATTCTTGATTCTAAGTCAAACGGTCTAGGAGTTATGAGCAATTTAGTACTTTTGGTTGCTGTAGCGCCACCTGTGGGCCAATCGGGGTCATACTCTGATAGGTTCTCCCCAAACTGAGGCCCTACCACCTGGCCAGGTTTCAAGTCTCTAGGCCTTACGGTTTGGGCTGCACGATGCGTTTTAGGTTTTTTTTTTTTTTAAATAGCAATTTCAATAGGTTTTCAGCACTTTGTGCTTGAACACCTAATTAAAAAGATGATAAACTTCTCATCTGGCAAAACACCGGTGTATCATATTTTTCACAACTCCCAGTATTACTCTGAGATTTTCCCATGGTGATTACACTGTGTCTGTGGTGTTCTTTATTCTAATCCTTGTCAGTCTGAAGCATGGGACTGCTGGGTTGTTTTATTCAAGCAATTTACAGGTTCATTTCCTCTGGAGTAACTTAAGGGATCTACATCTAGGGCACAATGGTGATACCCACTATCACATTGATTCTCTCAAATATATCCAGTGTCTGACTCACCTGGGCATCCGTGGGGGCGGAGCCTTGATCCGGCTGCTGTGGCTGGGCTGACGATGCACTGATGGTGACATTTTTGTCCGAGCGGCTGCTGCTGTCACGGCTATGTGATTTGTGCCGATCCCTGCTGCTGCGTTCACTGCACGAGAGAGACACACACAGCGACGGAGGTGAGGGAAACGCTGTCGCCATGGCGATGGGAGCAGGGAAACACACTCACACTAATGACAGGATAACCACCATCATCATTCTCCCTCTTCATCCTCTCACTGACACGTGCTGGCTTCCTCTAGCGCCGTCTCATCCATGTTCTAGCTGGAGCATCTGGTGCAAACTGGGTTAGAGGCAGTGAGCTGTGACGACCCTAATCCAAGCACAGCTTTCTCTCCCTCACTCTCTGGCTCATTCCTGTCTTTTTAGTCATAGCTAATGTCTGGTAAGCCTTAGAATAAAACAAAACTGATAAACACAAACAAATACAGCACTACTGCACACAGATGCTCTCTCTCACACACACACATTCTATCAAACAGAAGCAGACATAGACGTCTCGCTCTGAGGAAATCTTGACATCAGCAAATAACTCTGCAAATATCTGCAAAGACAGCATTCGATCTCACGCTGTCTGTTTAACAATATACAGCAATGAGGCATGAAAATTATATTGTTACAGTAACTGATGCTCGTTTCACAACCTAGCATCCTAACGGTCATAGAACCTCACAAAATAATGATTTGGAACACTCTACATGTGCAACAAAATTCCCCACAAAAATAGTGCTGCACATGGAAAATTTGACTGTCAATTTATTTATCAATAGAGTTTGACGTTGGCATATTGATAAGCTAATGCAGCTAAACTAGGTTTTGGAGACGTCAGAAGATGCGTCTGGGATTTTAATATTTTGACTGGAGAAAAATAAACTATACCAGTGGTTCTCACCTTTTTAGCTAATAATTCACTACACAAAAGTAAGTTATTCATTTTACCATCGTAAAAAACACAGTGTTATTTTAATATCATTGATATACTATTATAGTTTTGTTCATATTTTGATTAAGATTTAATTTTTATATATATATTTTTCATTTACATTTCAACATTTTAGTTATTGTTTTGTTTTTGTCATTTTTTAAAATCATGTATACCTGTATAGTTTTTAAGTTTTAGTTTATTTAAAGAAAGTTATTTATTTAATGATAAATTTTGCCTTGGCAACTAGCTGAAATAAAATGTTTAAGTTTTTTTATATTTTATTTTATTTCAGTTAATGTTTCTTTTTTTTTCAAGACAGAAAATGTTTTTTTAAAGGTTTTGGTTTTAGTATACTATACTTGCACTGCACAAGAGTACTACAATTTTTAAGTAAGCATTGCTTTTTTGCATTCTGTGATAGGATGACCAAATTGGGAGCTTTGTCCTACGTCCAGGAAGACGTAAGCTGTGTCCCATCTTTGTATTGTATTTCTTCCCTTACAATACTACAATAAGAAATATAAGAAATACTAAAAATAAGATTGCCTTTTATCCATGTGCACAGCTGTATGTTCTAGCTAGAGCGGGAAATTTATCAACCAACACATTAGTAGAGAAGGATTTTTCCGCTGTTGACGACTAGACGGAGCAAAGGATTTAGTGTGGTCCTCATAAAAACTTGTTAAATACAGCGACACCAGCCAGGACTTCATCTAGACACATTCTGGATAAGAACATCCTGATAAACCTGCCAGATCCAACAAAAAATACTGGTTCAATATGCACTGAATCCGGTAAAACTCCTTTAATGTTTGCATAGTCTAATAAAGGGAAAAAAAACTCGAGGAAATTTATTTTAGTATAAAATGTGATTTTTACCTGTTGCTCAGTTTATTATATTTAGCAGACTGAATAGGTTCTGTAGAGTAAATAGGCTATATTGTTTCACTTGAACATGGGTAAACTGAGTGCCAGTCATTTTATCTATCACACACGTGCCCTGCATTGTCCCGCAAAATCACATACAGTCCTGCAACAGAGCAATAACCAGGTGGTCACCCTAGTCCGTGACACTATCAGAACAGATATGCGACCCACCAGCTGAGAACCACTCAACTATACTTTTCTAAAGTGACTCTCTGATTATAGATCAGTGAGTATGTATACAGATAATGCCGTATGAGGATTAGAGAATTGCTTTAGTCTTACAATGACTTCTAACTGTTAAGTTTGGAACAGCTAGTCATCACAGACCCCGACCCCCCTGTTGCTTAACTCTAATCCTGGACAGCCTGAACGAGATTGTGTCGTATTATAGAACATCTACAGCTGAGCCTGAGGGACTAAGCCAAACAGCTGCTACAACATAGGCTTGCCGCGATAGACGGTGTTGACGGTGTTACCGGTTTTAAGCCCCATCACCGGTGACATCACTTTCCCACTGTGACACCGCGATGTCTTGACTTTTTTAAAGTATTCGTTTTTGCTAAAAACTTACACACGCAAGGTCTCTCGCTCGCTTTCCCTCTCTCCCGTACGCGCGCGCTACGCGGTTTGAAGCACAATCTCTGTCTCGCGTGCGCGCTCGCTCTAGATTCCAGGAGATTTTAACTATTTTGCGGTATAATTAGTCGATCACGAGTTGCTCAACAGGCAGATATATAGATAAACTCATCTTCCAGGCATTTGACCGACCAGGTTGACACTTCATGCCTGAGAAATCGGGAGTGTGGCGTGAGAGCGTGTGAAAGCAATCAAATTAGAGGTCTGCACGGGCTTTAAACTGAAGCCCGAACCCGGCCCGTACCCGCGATCATTTAACCCGACCCGACCCGACCCGACCCGACAATTACATTTACATATTAAGCCCGAACCCGACCCGAACCCGAGGTCCATTCTGTTTCTCACAGCAATACCATTTTTGCAATATGCTATGTTGTATTTAATGATTGCTTGACATATTAAACAAATACATGTAGGCGCAGCGGCCCTATCAGCAGGCAGCACAGCAGTAAGAGAAAAAACTTACCAAGTAATTTTTTGCTTTATCAGACTCATGGTTTGCTTGTTGTCGTCGGCTGTTTATTGTGACTGAAATAGCGCGCGAGAGCGGTAGCACATGCGCAAAACAGTTTTGTGATATAAATGATATGATAAAATAAAACAAATAATTAAAAATATTATATTCATATATCATTATATTTGAGAGAGAGAGCCTGTATGCACATATTGCACATCTGCGGACGTAGCCTATACTTTCTCTCTCGCGCGTGCCGGTCACCACAACACAGCAAGCAGGCAAAGCACACGGCACGCAAACTATATATAGCCTATTTCGTTTTTCTTAGTTAAACCCGAACCCGACCCGAACCCGAGGCTGTTTATTAACATTAACCCGAACCCGACCCGAAACCCGCACATTTTTCGGGACCCGTCGGGCTCGGGTCGGGTAGCAGACCTCTAAATCAAATGCGTGTGTCTCGCGGCCAATGCGTGAGAGTTGGCAGCTCTGTAAAAGCTTTTTAACCCCCACGCCCCGCCCCCCACGGTGATACCGGGATTACCGGTGTTGTCAAACGTCGATTAACCGGTGGGAAATTTTCCTCACCGCGGCAACCCTACTACAACATTCAACAAAGTACAAAGTTCAAGATTTGTGAACAGCCATGTATATGAACAATCAATTATTAAAAAACTATATTTGTCTACCACTACTCTGAATTTTGGGGAGAAAGCATCCACCACTGGTTGTCCACCAATGTCTACGGTGGGTAATTTGGGTATGATGTGGGAAAATATAGCCTATTAATTAAAAATATATATATATGTTCTCAAGTAATATTTTCATATTTTCTTATACATTTAAAAAAAGTTTAAACACCTATTTAAATAGTTTAATAATAATAATAATAATAATTCTAAATAATATATTTTAAAATAAAACATTTGTTTAATGAAAACCTTACCTGAAATTGGGTTTAAACCTCAAACAGATCTTTAACTGCTACACCACACCATATTCTCTAATTGTTCTCCCTTCATGACTTCAAGACTAAACTTCTTTATATTTGCTTTTAACAGTGCTAAAGGTCTTGGCACTGAATTCCCCAAGAAATTCTTTAAAAATGCAATCAATGAATAATACAACAAAGCCCCTTTTCCCAGCAGTGCAGATCTACACAACTTTGTGTGTATTGCAGTATTGTAAATACCCTGCAGGAAGCATGGGAATGTAATTAGAAGTTATATAAACTGGGTGTTGAGGCTGAATGGGAGAGGCAGTATGATAGCCCCTAGTGAAACACTGAGGTGTCCGTCCCCACCCAGGCATTATAAATGTGTGTTGATGTCAAATGTGGAGCTCAGCTTCGTTTGGAAATTGAAAAAAAGAAGAAACAAAGTAATCCTGCCCACTGAGCCAAGGGAAAGTGGCCAGATCAGTGTATGCTATAGACATAGACAGAGAGAAATAGACAGTCTGAAACTGGTGTGTGAAAAATAAAGTGAATATGTTTTAATAATCACTGTTTTAACTATCATTTGCACATCTTCCACGGACCATTTTTGCCATGCAAAAGATTAAAACCAGACTGAGTACTAAACAGGCACAATTACCGTAAGATATGGAGATGATCGAATTCATCCAAAAATAGTTATTGAATGATAGGAGTATTAACGAAAGGAAAGAGTCGAGATACACAAGTAAAAAGTGGCAGGAAGTTTGAAAGCCAACAGAAAGAGGACATGCATTTGTGGCTTTCTCATTGAAGATGCATACATTCTCTGCTTTCATGCTGGAATTCCACAGGCCTGTTTGGGCCTTTCACTTGAGTTTTTTATAGGAAACCTAACAATAGTGAAGCTCAATAAATAACTTCCTAATTACAGTGGGTGGGGTCAAAACAGTCCAAATCTGTGAGCAAACAGTCATACAAGGATTAACAATTATGTATGATAGGAAACCACTCAAGCAATCTTACAATTGTTGCGCACCCAAACTAAAATCTTGAAGTTCAACCTAACAGGCCTTATTTTGTTTGTTTAAATGCATCTAGAATTACACAAATAGAGTCTTCATCTAATGTGAGCATATTTCATATTAATCATTTTTGTGAGACTAGTATTTATTTTTAATGAAGAAAAACTACTGAGGGAACCTTTAACCAAGAATATTTCTTTAACGTGTTATTACGACACTGATTACCTTTTCAAAGTAATAATTTAGAATCATCAGAGGCAATTCTCAATAATTTAATCTGAAAGTAATTAAAGACATCCCGTCACTAATGAGCAACAGAATCATTCCACAGACAAATTCACTTAATTTCGTTAATACACTTGAAGCTTGAAATAAATGCAAAATCTTTTCATGATGATAATATTAATTTTCTGCATGAATAAATCTGGAAAAAAAACAAGAGAGGAGAAAGAGAGTATGATGTGTACTGTATGCATATGTGAATGCACATGAGGCTGTTCAGCCCTTTACCTCTGTTTGTTTGACCCTCGTGACCTATTGGAGTGGTGGGAATAACCAGAGTGGATAGAATCCGTGTCCATGGCAATACTGTCTGTGCTGTGATTGGTTTAACACAGCAGAGGGAGGAATGCAGAGACAGTGAAAGTGCAGACGATGATCAGGACATACATGAAGTTGCGCAAGATGACAGGATCGTCTCTAGGGGCTTTCTGTTATCAAGCATTAACCTAAAGAGAGAAAGGAAAAGATTTTTAAACAAACTCCTACCTTATGCCATAAATACATCAAATACAATACAATCATGTTATAATAATGTACATTATTGAATTTAGAGCTCTTAAAAAGGTCAGGGCTATCTCAAGTCAGTAAAAACGAACTGCAATACAGCGCAGTAGTCTGGTTCCAGAAATAAAAATCCCATTAATTTTCTTCATAGAAGAATAATTTATTATTAATAATAATGTATTGTTAAGACTGCCACTGCCGTGAAAGACTGCAAATTATCAAGTTAGTCTTCCTACACTCTCAACCTATATATTTGTTTAAACATGCACTAAACTATCAAAAAATCTAAAGTTTTAGATTTACTGCGGCATCGCTAAAGTAGAATATTTTTTAATTTAATAATAAAAAATCTTCATATTTGTTAACCACAAAAAAAACACTTAAAACTCAACCTAACAGCCCACATTTCGTACTTCTTTTTACATTGCTTTCCTCCAATACAGTGACAACAAATGCATTCAGAACAGAAACAACAAACAGCAAAGCCTAAAGCACTGTAAAGCACCTCTGCTCGCATCAACAAGCTCAAGGTGCATTTGGTTTAGTACTGCTCAACTTTAGCCAGTTCAGAAGCCAAACTAATTTTTTTTTTTTTTAGCAAAAAACACATTTCCCTTCCGCTTCTTCCATCCTAGCTGGAATATATCTGCTAGTGATCAATTATTAAAGAATGGAAGGTATGATCCTTAGGATATCTACTGTAGTTCATTACTATTCAGATATTCCTTTTCATATGCCCCTATTGCCCGCTCACTTGAACTCTTGTGGAAGCTATTTTTCTTAGCCGTTCTGTTCTGTTTGAGCCTTTTTGGTCCTCAGTTCTTCAGCTTCAGGGAATTCTGCACTGACTGTTGGGTGCTCGGTTTCATGGCGTTGCTTTAAATTTGATCTTTGAAATTGCGAGGATACACCACTGCAAAGCAGACATAAGCATTTCCCCACACAATTCAATCACATTTAGCCTAAGCCAGCATGCTGGCCTGGTAATGTTACTCATAAGCCCTGAACAAAAACATAAACAGTTATTCTGGAGGAAAAAACTTTTAACATCACACTGAGAGTCTCATGAAGCTAGCAAGCCAAGAGTATCAAGGCTCTATACTGAGACTTCCAGCACAGACCTTGTGCATTGATTTATCCACTCATAAATTACTCATTTGAAGTGCACACAAGTTCTAGTCCCACCTGCCATCTCAAAGAAAGCAACCAACACACACACACAGGCACACTTATAAGAGGATTTACAGGTCTAAAAATTCGATCACAGCATGGCACAGCAAATTTATTCCATCACAAGTCACTTTCATTAAACCATCATGATGGAATTAAATTCTGCATTATACTTTCTTCTCTTCACATTTCCTACCAAATGCACTAGGGGTGGGAGAAAAAATCGATCCATCGATGCATCGCGATTCTCTCTCCAACGATTCTGGATCGATTCTGAGAATTCCAGAATCGATTCTGAGCTTAGTTTTTAACCAGATGTGCGATGACGTTGAGTTTGCTTTAGAAACACCCGTATTCTGCTTGCTTCCAATTCCTCACACACATACACCACTCGAACCTTCCGTAAATAATCTTTCATAAAGTTCGGAAAGGTTGAAGCGAATTACAAGGACATTCACAGGCTTCATTGCACAGGATACGCTGTGAGAGACGCGCGCTTTCTTACACTTGAAGTGTGCTGTCTCGCCCGTCGGTATTTTCCTTACAAATGCTCTACGAAGTCATCATTTATGTGGTTTGGAATGCAGTGGACTTTATATTTAAAATATGAACCTCACTAACAGAAGGCTGCTTTCAATTTCAAATGCTGACGCGCGCTTTGTTTGTGAGACTGCTCGCGCATGCGGCTGTGCGACTCCGCGACTCCGTGTAGTGGTTTAATGTAGCCTACTTGTGCAAAATTAACGTAAACACAGCCAGTTATGTCTTAAGGGATTAAACGGACAGGACACACCGCATTACTTCTTTAATTTCAAAAGAGATGCGTGCGTGAATGCAGCTTAATAGATCTCCCGCAGTCTATGATGTCATAGTAAAAACAACAGTAAAGATGAAGAAAAATCACTCACAGTTCTTGAATGGAAAACGTTCAGATAATCGGTAACACTTTATTTTAAGGTGCTTGTAATAAGCAGTAATTAACAGTTAATACGACACTTATAAGACCTTATAAGATGCATATAAGATGCATATAAGCATTAACTAATTATAATAAATAAATTAAATTAAAAAATAAATTTCTCAAGTATCAATACATTGCACTTTTAGAACAGCCGAACAAACATAAATGGTAACACAAACTCCCAGTCCCTTAAAAATGGACCTTCCCAAGAGGGAGTAGTTTCCCTGATCTCTTCAGGGCCTGGACCTTTAATTAACCCTTATATGAAGTAGTTAATGCTTATATGCATCTTATATGATAAAGAATCGTTCTGGAATCGGATCGTGACTCCCAGAATCGGAATCGGGTCGGATCGTGAGGTGACCAAAGATTCCCACCCCTAAAATGCACAAAGTTTGGGGGCCTCAAATAACAAATTTCTGTCATGCCAACTCTTGGAGTGTTTGGATCCAAAGAGGCAATTTCAGACTGCTTAGATAGCCAATCAATACACAACACGCTGCTGTGAGCAAGTAAGACTGCTGCTGAACAATATAGCATACATGAATTACCCATAGCAGATCTATACAGGTGGAGCTGGGGAAGGTGGAGGGTTTCTGAAGGTGCTGCAACTGCTACAGTAAATGCTGACCAAGTATTTGAAAGTTGAGCAGCGAGCTCACTGGCTACTGATACATCAGCTGTACTCTATAGAGAATGATGTGACTGCAAGCTGATTGAGTTAAGGACCTATCAGCCTGCGCCATTTAGAGTTTCATGACAGAACATTGTCTCTTGTGACGCTTTGCAGACTCTGCTCTGGCTGTGTGCATTTATGTGTTTCGGAGGAGGCGTGGCTTTGAAGAGTACTCTGAAGGGAGGTTGGGATTGAATGCTTTTAAAGCTAGCTTGCTATTGCTAGCCTCTCCGAAATTGCCAAGCCTACATTTAATACATTTAGTCAAAATTCACTGCGCTATTCACTGCAAATATTTACTCTAACTGCATTATTTAAGCCTATCAACATCTGTATATTTTATAGGTATTCATACCATCCTCTTGAAATCAGAAGATAATGATAGTAAACTTTGTACTGTAGAAAAAAACTATTGTTTTGAGCATGTGGTTTACCTTAAATGGGACTCAATTGCTGGTTTATCTAAAAATGTACAGGTAATTTACGAATAAACTATGTTTCTGATCAATGTGTGGTATGTGAGTTTGCCAAGATACCACTGACCACTTTCAAGTCCTCATTTCTCTTATCAATGGGAGAAATCTGACCTGGACAAGAACACATAGCATTCCTCTGGGGTTGCCTCATAGTGCCCTGAAAACACACAAACACACGCACACACACACAAAGAATTCCTCTAAAGTTACTCCATGTACACTCATATGCACTAACAGAAAGTGTATCAGGTTAGGGAAGCTGGGGGCTTAGCATTTTCAAGTTATTATTATATCCTATCACAAAGGAGAAGAAAGCAATTACAGCCAAATGTTTTACAACTTCAGACAGGTTTCACTCTTCTTATCTCAGTTTTAACACAGTGTGTCGATCCATTACTATTCTGGAGACAATTCAAGGGTTGCTGCATATTTCACAGGGCAGCATAGGCCAAATAAATCTCTTTTGTAAAAAGCAGGAATGCAAGGTTTTGATGACTTTGATACGTGATCTGTCTAGATGACCTGTCTAGGCTGTTTAAATCTGAAATCTGGGATACACAGATTCCTAATTCAGGGTGAATAGTTTTCTAATCTTACCAGACTTGCTCTATTGACTTTAATCAGTTTTCAGAGTTCAGATAAACAATAAATGGGAGAAACGAACAGTTTTTTTTTCTCCAAACAAATGCTTTTTACATTTTTTTTTATTGAGATGCAAATTTAGATAAACATTTATCACTTGTATTTCACATACTGTGTATTTACCATACATCTCAGATTCGTATTTATCAAAAATTCAAATTCGCACATAGAAAAGAACAGAAAAAAACAAAATGAAAAAAATGTGTACATACTAGGAAGTGATCTTTCTGTATACTGTAATACTGTACATTGATTTGTGAAAATACAAATCTCTCTGTGCTTTTTTAGTCTAAATCTGGGCCTCAGTTTATGGGCACAGTATCTTCACCATTACATTCACAAGAATTTCATGGCTCTGAACATCTACTTAGTGTTTGAAGCGAATGCTGCAATAAATGTAGAAATTTTCCTTCAATGACCAGTGACCTTCAATTTCAGCCTGTCTGTCACACATTCCTATTGTATGGCTTCACAAGACTTGGAAGACATAATATGAGTCACATTTATAATATTTTTGTGCCCTTCAAAATCTCCATTCCCTATTTATTGTCATTTTATTGGAAATGAGCAGCCAGCATTATTAAGAAAAATCCTTTTGTGTTCTGCAGAAGAAAGTAAGTCATACACTGTAGAAACAGTGGCATATTTTAATGTGAGCTGATGGACAGTTGCTACTAGAGCATATAGTCAGAATGTAGTGCTAACTGGAGCAGGAGAGTCCCTGGAGGCTTTTACATTTAGCCATCAAAACTCAGATTTTCACAGCCATTACACCTACAGCGCTAAGACACATCATTTGACAGAAAGGCCCACTCAGCCAACATAGCCTTTAACATATGTTCAAAGCGCTGAGTAATGCATATCATATACACACATGTAGAAACACACATGCACACAGAAGACTTTCACATTTGCCCTAGAGGCAGTCATGGATGATCAAAGGCAGAACAATAACATTTCTTCACCTTACTAAACAAGAATACAAGACAGGCAGAAAGACAGAATCTTAGAGCAGAAAGAACGAGAGCGAAGGGGGGAGGGACAGTGAGAGTGAAAGGTACAGAAGCAGAGAAAAAAATACACTGTATTCTTCAGATTGAGCAAGCGTGACTGACACATAAAAGCAAACACACATAAACTGACATATATTAATGCAGATAGAAATAAAACAGGATATGTACGTATGCATGTATATACACAGATATATACATATCTGCAAACATCGGCTAATCTTAAATTCACCATAAAAATCTAAATTGACAATTCTTATTTTTTATGGAATAGGCTAGAGTTTATTATAAATTATTTATCCATGCACATCATTATTTTTTTTAATTCATGTTCGCTCTTAATCTTTAATCAAAATAACTTCCCCTCCCTCTCGCAATAACATATCTTCTCTTGACATGTTTTTCAGCATGAGGGCAGAACAACCAATCACTCGCATGAAATCACTGCAATAGCAAACCACAACCGACGATCCAATCAATTCCTGATGGACAAAATCATGTCCCGCCCTATATATTTCCTTGTCTGAGAAGCCGCTTCACTCAGACACCACAATAGGGAAGAAAAAACTAAAGCATTGCATGCTTTAAATTTAGCATTGTCCATTTAAAAAAAATGTCAAATTGCTTGAAGCTATTCTGCTCATATGGGTGGCACAGGTTTGATTCTGGCCTGCAATATGTACGAATACCATTTCTCCCGTTTCCTAATAATTTCCTACCACTAATTTTAAACTGTTAGTTAAAATGTAAATACCCCAAAATAAACCCATAGATATTACACAATGATTAATGTTCCCCCCTTGTCATGTCTTCAACACACACTGGCTTTTCTCCAAGACTACTGGAGGTTTCCTTAAGGAATTCACATCACAGAAAATGTAAATAACATGTTTGTGTGTGTATATTATGGTGAAATGGACAGAGAAAGAGAGGCACAGTGAGTAAGACTACAAAATAGAAAAAATTGCATTATAGAGCCTTCCTCACTTTAATCTGGGCGTTGAGGCCAGATGGAAATTAAATAATTGTGTCAGACATTGGTAGCTCTATATTTAGCCAGCACAATCCACAGAGCAGCTCTCTTTCTCAAACTGTGAGTACAGTCTGTCTCTAAGGAGTAGATGTGGGGAAACCACCATACATGCTCACACACGCTCACACACACACACATACGAATAGTAGTCAAAAAGTCAAAATAGTAGTGTAGTCCTCATTTAGATGAGCTTTCATTCATATGTTCCTAATGCATTTCATTCATGCACTTGTGAAACATCCAACTCTCACACTTGCTACGCCACACTTCTTTATAGTATTTTAAGTATTTGGATGGTTCAAACATTAATCTCAAGTGCCATATAAACCAGCATTATTCTGTATACAAATACTGCACTTATTATTTCTAGATATAAGCACATGCAACACCTACTTTTGAGTATTGTCCAGAGTGATAGTTAGTGTAAAACTGTTCATACACTCTTAAAGTAGCATTGAATGTTTCAAGTACCTTAACCATCAATGAATTAATAAAAATGAATAAACCATTAATTTTAAGAAGATTAAAATGATCTTCACACTAACTAAGAATAAACTAGCTATTTTAAGAACTGATTACTGAAAGGTTCTTTTTCACTTTATTTTTAAGAGTGCTAACTGCTGTCCATGCTTGAAAGGCCACTGACGCTGGCTGGATAGCCCATCGTCTTTCCAATCGCTCTTCATCTCACTGTAAAAACATAGTAATTGCAGCTAAGGCAAACATTAGCTCTAGAGGCATTTTACAGCAAGGCTTCCCTGTCATAAGTGTTGTTAACGCTCCTGGGTGCTGTTTGAAGAAGCCTTTGCTAGAAGTGTTATCAGGTCAACATGTTGTGGTGGACAGTAAGATACTATGAAATTAAAACTGAATGTGTGTGAGTGAGTTTCTGAATGTCTTATCAAGTCCAATGTTTTCAGGCTTCATGCCTTTCCGTGTTCTTCCTTGCGATACTTTTTAAACAATGATATTTGGTGAAAAAAAAAAAAAAACCTAAGCAAAAATGAAACACTGAAGTATTAAACATAAGGAACAATCCCATTTTAAGACATGTGGGTGGCAAATGTGTGTGTAGCAATAGAAAGATGGTTTATAAATACATTCCAGGTACTCAAACAACAATGTGGGAGACCTGTTTCTTCGTGGTGTTCTTGAGATAAAGTTTAGTGTTATTTTAGTGCATGTGAACATCAAACTTTTAGATAGGCCAATGCATAATTCATGCGCTGTCAGATATAATATTCAGAGTTGAACTGACAGATTAAAAGCCAGAGTTTGCAAGTGAGTGTTGTGTTGTTTTCTGATGTGCAAAATACAAAAAAAATGTCTGCTTTACAAGAAAGACTGCCTCATTGCTTATTTCTAGTGCTTTAAGAGGAGAAACACTTCCACTGCTTATCAGACAGAACAACACAGCATACAACACATATCAGAAATGCACATGCTGTTAAAATACCTGTATGCTAATTTGTTACTAACACAACACTAACTTTTTCACTAGTTTAAGTACTTTTTTAGGTTTCACAATTCATTGATATGAGGGTCCAACATCATTATCTGGCCTAGATTATCTGGCAGTCGTTTCCTTAAGAAAGAGACCAAAAAGCACAAGGAGATGGGAATTTACGTCAGATGTGAGCAGTGTGATTCTATGTTGAACGAACGTGATTACACCAGGCACAACATTCCAACCAACCAATCAGATTTGAGGGACAAGTTTACAGTTTATGTCAAATTTAGGCTTACATCAAGGGTTAGGTGCTTCTACATCAGTGTTATTCACATATCATTTAGGCTGATTTCAGGGATAAGTTATGAGTAGAGTTAGGTTTAAGGGGTAGGGATAGGGCTAGGACTAAATATTTCCATAGGAATGTTGTTCCAGGATCAACAAAATATGTTGACCCAGAAACATGTCTAAAATGGCAAAATCACAGTGACAGTGATTCTATACTCAATGCAATAGACATGTCACTTGATAAGCAAGTCAAGATAAGGAGCATGTTACATGTTATTTTACAATAACAACTTGCAGTAAGTAAGGACACCTGTATCTGAAGAAAAATGTAGCCTTTGTGTATGCCCAGTAAAATTAATTCACATCATAATTTTGGAGAGATGCTCTGACTAAACATTAGAACAGACATTTGTTATTCCACACTTAAGAATAGAGAACAAAGTCAGAGAATAATGTGAAGTTAAAAAGTAACCTCAGCCAGCAATCATAATAAGCACATCCATAAGTGTTTGTTGCCTATTTGTAAAAAAGGAGATAGATAGCCTACTGCAGACCCATGCACCCTTTTAAAGATAATCAACCCCACCCCTTTTTTTGTCATGATTAAATGATTTACACCTTATAAACAAAAGAAAGGAAATTAGTCAATCAGAATTAAGGTTAAACATAAGCATCAATTTACCCTCTGGCGGCACCTAATCCAACGCAATTCTTTACGCAACGTAAAAAAGGCACAATGATATGTTTCATTCCTGCAAGCCGTTCGCTGTTTCCATCCGCACCACGCATTCAAAACAAAAATGATCCGCTTTGATATTGAACATAATACATTCGTTTCATTTTGCAATAATAATTTCGAGTGCAACCCCTCAGCCTAAGAACACTCTGTGATGAAGAAAAGAAACGGGAACCGCAAGAGGTCATAAATCGCATGTAGCTCATGGGCGTAAATGATAGCGTTGGGAAGACCGGTTCATTTGAAAGATTCGGTTCGTTCGGACGGTTCATTTCAATAGACAGGTTGAAAGGAGATTCACCGATTCGTTTCATAGCTCATAGTGCTCCAGAAGCAGTAGCATTTTGATGTTAAATTATGGGGGGGGAGTATAGGCCTAACACAATAATAAGAAAATGTAATAATAAAAGTAATACAAAAATAAGAATAAAAAAATCAAATATTAAAAAAACACTATTATTTAAGATTCAAAATAATGTATACAATTTTGGACTAGGGGCGCGTTTCCCAAAAGCATCGTCAGCCAACTATGGTCGCAAATTCCATTCATCTCTGTTGTTAACGACGGAACTTGCGAAACGCACCCCAGGTTGGTTTTAGCTGGTCAAGCTGGGAGACCAGCTGTCTGAACACCAGCTGAACACCAGCTTGGCCAGGCTGGAAGACCATCTTGACCAGCCTGGGAGACCAGCTTAATCCAGCTATAGGCTACTTCCAGTTTAAACCAACTAAAACAACCAGCCTAGGCTTGTTTTAACCAACAGTCTTTTTTTTCATATGATTTTTCTTTTTCAATTCTGAGGTCATTCCATGGTTAGATGTTATCATTATATCACTTTCCCCAGCTGTAAAACTTTTAGTTCTGTCTTTATGAAATGTTTTGTCAATCCATTCCTTTGCTCTGCTGCTTCGAGAATTGGTTCCACAGAAAGGTGACTCGGCTCAGAAGAACAATTCTATTGCGAATCGGACATCTCTCATGGATACACCGCCCAAGTCAATGGAATGCCAACCATGTGCTTTAAAAAGGGTTATCACTGCCTCTAATGCATCCGATAAAACAACAAAGAAATATATAAACAAGCACTCTACATGGTGCGAGCGTGATCCACCCAGAGGCGTTTTTGGAGGCGACTCGATGCCACGAGACACGAGATTAATGATCATATTAAGAAGTCACTGCTGCACAATAAGAAAATGTGTTTTTATTATTAGAGGAAATGTTACAGAAAAGCATCACAAGTGCTTCTATATTAGCATCAAGTGTAATGTATCGATATAGTCTTATTAGTATGAATTGTCACAGTGAATTTTACAGGTTAATTCGTCTAATCAGAAGCATCCATAATGATTTTCGTTGTAACCCTGTCATAAGGACTATAATCAATACTCTGTATGAGCAATTACTTAAATCTGTCATTTTAAAGACAGCAGCTGGGCGTGAGAACTTTAACAGCATGCATTCCAGTGTCTTCTAACGCCAAAAGCTGATCACTTGTATTTAGATCAATGCAGTGAGCACAAAAGAATAGACAATAGGTAGGCTATAGTAGAAACTTACCTATAGTGGCCACGCCAACATCCCCGATAAAATGATCCAATGATCAATACACTGTACCCAGATTTACCCACTTTCATGCATTGCGACCAATCTGACTGCAGTAATGATAGTATCCTTTACAGGCGGAGCACACCACACATATGATACACTTTGGCAGAAGAGGTGGAGGGACTGAGACTCATTACAGTGTGCAGCGCTAGGGGGAGTTATCGCCTCTAATTAGACGCACACATCACACACACACACACACACGTACATCTGTACCAGTCTGTAGGCTATGTCTAATTAGAGGCGATAGATGATTTATATATATAGGCCTATATATATATATATATATATATATATATATATATATATATATATGTGTGTGTGTGTGTGTGTGTGTGTGTGTGTGTGTGTGTGTGTGTGTGTGTGTGTGTGTGTGTGTGTGTGTGTGTGTGTGTGTGTGTGTGTTCACGTATAGGCTATGTTATTATATTTTGTTTAAATATTGTATGGACACTTTATTTGTCTATTTTTGCTGTTAGTATGCATGAGTGGGGGATTTACCAGGAAGTGACTCTTCCTGCAATGAACACCGTTCCACCAGTAGGTGCCGACAAGTGAATTTCTTTAAAGTCCCCATGAATTCAAAATTGACCATACTTACTTTGTTTGCCTAAATTGATCGTTTTGTGGTGAACAATTCATCCATGCAAGTCAATCCACACAAAAAAATGTTTTGGCTTCGTAATCTTTAATCAAAATCTGAAATTTCCCCTCCCCTCTGCGTTGGAGGACCTTGCCTGATGACGTAGGTTTCACGGTTTGGGCGTCTTCTTAACATCCGTAATCACGCCCCTCCAACTGACAGTAGACAGGCTGAATGAAAACACCTACTTTTCTAGATCCAATCAGGTGCTAGTTGGGAAAAAAGCCGCGCCCACCATTTTGCCTCATTTAGTATTCCGTTTCTCTCGGAAATACGTCACAACACCGGTGAAAAGTCGTTTGCAACTTCCGGTTCACGGGGACTTTAAGAGTGAGTCATTGACCGATTGATTCAAGCGATTTGTTCAAACTCACTTCTTAAAGGGTTAGTTCACTCAAAAATAAAAGTTCTGTCATCATTTACTCACCCTCATGTCGTTCCATCCAAACCCATACGACTTTCATTCATCTTCGAAACACAAATGAAGATATTGGAAAATAAATCTTGAGATTTCTGTCCCGTTGACAGCTACGCAACTACCTTTGATATTCATAAAGAGATCGTAAAACTAATCCATATGAATTTTCTGAAGAAATACAAAAGGCTTTTATTCAAATATTTAGGCTATACATTACATTTATATTTAAAGGCACACTGTGGAACTTTTCAACCTTTATAATATATTACCAAAACCCATTGAGATGGTACATCGACTTACAATAGGTTGAATGACACGTCTGCCGAAGCCTGAAGGTGTCTGTATCGCTTTTACTAGCACTATGTAACTTCGGGTTTCGGGTAGGAACCCGAGCACAAAAAGAACTACAAAATTCGACCGCTTTACGGCATAGGCCTACGTCACTTCCCCCACCACCCCAACTTCCTCAAATTCTAACGTGAGAGCTCAACTCGCGTTTGATTGCCGGCGTCTGTATGTTGTCGTCATGACTGAATCAACAGCTACTCGGAAGAAAGCGAAGAAAGCAAAGATTTTGTCAGAGGAGACCAAAAAAGAAAAAGGGAGAGTTTAAAATAAACATCGGCATAAAAGTGTATATATAATGTAATATTTACTGCGAATTCGTGTAACAAAACTGATATAAGTCACAACATACTGCCGTATACAAATGTAAATGTAAATGTTTTTTTTTTTTTTCAGCTCATATATGTTTGTATTTGTGTAAAAGGAAAAACAAACTGAAGACTACAAATAACGGAAATATGTAGTGAGTTATATCAGTTTTGTTACACGATTTCCCGACTACTCGATTTCATCTCCAACCCATTGCAAAGAGATCCTGAAGACTTAATTGTTTGCTTCAGGTGTGTTTGATTAGGGTTGGAGATGAACTGTGCAGGACAGACGATCGGCAGGAGCAGGATTGGGCAACCCTTGTCAATGCGACTTACCTGATCAGACATTGTTTTCTGCGTATGCTACTTCTATTCAATTTGTTTTCTTTATAGGATTTATATTATTAATCTTATATTTATATTATTATTTTGGTCAGTAGTGAATCGATTAACTTTCTCCAACATACAAATCAAATGCCGTCTGCACACACATAAAGACACCCGACTGACTGTTTGTTGACTTTTGTGACAATGCTGCGGCGCTTGTGGCCTCTAGGGGCACTAGACGTGAAAATTACAGGTCGAGCGCACCCTAGTGGCCAAAAATTCCACAGTGTGCCTTTAATCATTTAGCAGACACTTTTATCCAAAGCGACTTAAAAATGAGGAGAGTACTAGAAGCAATCAAACTAACAATAGGGCAACATATGCAAGTGCCGTGGCCCGTGACCAGTCCCAGTTAGTCCAGCACAGTACACGTAGAAAGGTTTTATGTATATGTAGGCCCTATGTATATGCAGGGCCGGTTCTAGACATTTGGAGGCCCTAGGCAATATTCATGTTGGAGGCCCCCCCCCCATCCCCAATAAAAAACTCTTAAAACATATATGATTCCTAACCTTTTAATTTATACAACATTTAATTTTAAATGTTTTTACTTACACAGTACATACGTTTGGACACATTACTATTTTTAATGTTTTTGAAAGAAGTCTCTTGTGCTCATCAAGCCTGGATTTATTTGATCAAAAATACAGAAAAATAATATAGGCTATAGTGAAATATTATTAAAATTTAAAATAATGGTTTTCCTATTTTACTATACTTTAAAATATATTTCTGTGATGCAAAGCTGAATTTAGTGTCATGTGATCCTTCAGAAAACTTTATAATATTCTGATTTATTATCAAATGTTAGAAATGGTGCTTAATATTTATTTTATAACCTGTGATACTTTTTTTCAGGATTTTTTTTTATTATTAAAAAGTATTTTTTTTTTTTTAGTCTTCACTGTCACTTTTTATATATTTAACACATCCGTGCTGAATATTCCTGTTTTTTTTTTTTTTTTGTATTTTTGATCAAATTAATGCAGGCTTGTAGAGCATAATAAAAAACTTATTTCAAAAACATTAAAAATAGTAACGGGTCCAGACTTTTTACCAGTAGGCTACTGTATGTACATATTAATCAAACTTCATCTAAGGTAATCTCTTTTTTGTTTAATGAAGATGTTATTGTTATTGTTATTTTTCTGTTTTATTCAATTTATTCACAGTTCCAGAATACCACTTCAGTGATATATGCTTTTATCATTTTTTTCATAGCTGGTATGGCCAGGATTTTCCCCTCCCATTTAATCAATATTGACTGCAGATATTGTCATATTATTAATATAAGTAATATGATATTATGCATTGCTAGCTTAAATTGCTATACACAAATCAAGTGGAAGAGAAAGACACGGTCGCTACTGATTAGAAAAAGAAATTCTAAACTGATATTATTGGCGTAAGTAGGCTGATGTCAGACAGGGTATAATCATCAGCAGAATTTAGAAGATAGACCCATGAGATCCTTTATTTGAAACATTTAAAAATGTTGTAGTGTGTTGGC